TGTTTATTGTAGTAAAGGAACTGTATTTTGGAAATCTGTGGATGTCTCGAGCATTCGTAGTAGAGATGTTGGATTCTACTATAATTTGTTAGAAAAAGTTGTTGAAGAAATTGGGGAATAATACAATATCCAAATAGTGACCGACAATGAGTCAGCAATGAAAGTCGCTGGGAAAAGATTAATGTTGAAAAGAAACCATCTTTATTGGACCTCATGTGCAGCTCACTGCTTAGATTTATGTCTTAAGGATATTGGGAAAAAGTCTAGTGTAGCAAAAGTGTTAGGGGAAGCGAAGAAAGTGACATGCTTCATATATAATCACATTTGGACTGTTGATTTGATGAAGAAGTGTACTCACGGTAAGCAAATTCTTCGCCCTGCTCTTACTCAATTCGCTACTCATTTCATACAGCTTGATGAGATAACAAGGCAAAAACAAGGTTTGAGAGAGATGTTTAAGTCAAAGGTCAGTATTTTATAATTATTTAATACAATTACTGATTACTCAAATATAACAATATTTAATGATTTTATTAGTTCCAATTTTTAAATAAGTTAAATTATGTTATTGATTTTTTTTCTTATTAAATATAGGAATTCAGAGAATCAAAATGGGGACAACAGAAATCAGGGCCTGCTTATTAAGCAAAAAAAATTGTTTTAGGAAAAGATTTTTGGAAAAAGCCGTTGATATCATAAAAGTTTACGAACCCCTAGTCAAAGTGCTAAGGCTTGTTGACGGTGATGAAAAACCAACAATTGGTTTTATTTATGAGGTCGTTGATAGAGCTAAATGAGCAATTAAGGAAAATTGTTGATATTCCATTGAGTATGAAAGAATTATTGACAATAGATGGAATTTTTATGCATTCCGACTTGCATTCAGCTGGTAAGATAAAATATATCATATCATTAAGAGTTATTTTTTTATTTTTTATTTTAAGTTTTATAATTTATATTATTATCATTTCAACATAAATTATGATTAGGTTATTTCCTCAATCCTCAATTTTAATTTGGGGTGGAGCATTCTGAGAATGTATTAGCAGAAACATTAGAAGGAACAAGATCAATGATTGAAAGATTAGAACCTTCTATTGATAATCAAATCAGAATGGTTAATCAGGTTAGATTCATTCAAGTAAAATATTATTTGTAACTTAGTTAAATAATTTGAAATTGAAATATTTTTCTCATTTTAACTTAAACTTTTATTTATGCAGTTGTTACTATTTCGAAGTAAACACGAGACATTTGGTACTCCACAGGCACAAAGAGCTTGGAATCAAATGAATCTAGGTAAATAGTTAATTATATTATTTACTTTATATTATTTAATTATATTTGTACATTTTGATGTTAGTTTGAAATTTAAATAATATTATGCAGGTGAGTGGTGGATGATATATGCACATGTACTCCTGAATTAGAACGATTAGCAATTAAAGTGCTTAGTCAAACAACTTCTGCATCAAATTGTGAACGAAATTGGAGCACATTCAACTATATTCACACCAAAGCAAGAAACAGGCTGAAGTACAAAAAACTTGAGAAACTAGTGTTTACCTATTATAATATGAGACTTAAAATGAGACATAAAAAAAGAATGAGCATTGATGATATAAACGCTAGTTACAATCCTATCAGCCTTGATAATATCTTTGAAGATGTTGATTCACTATCAGAATGGCTTCAAGAGAAAGAGAATCCATTATTAGATGGTGAAAATGTTGGTGGGTTGCCTGTGGATACCTTAGACGATGAAAATGAATGTTGATGATCAATCTCAATAACAAAATTTATCTCATTCAAGTTCTACTGCAACACCAAGTCAAAGTGGTGATGGGCCCGATGGTGGTGGTTTAAGTCCAATTGATGATGATGATAGACAGAGTGGTGATGGAGTTGAATTTAGATCTTCTTATCGGTATGGAGAACAATATGTTTATACAGGTAGTGGATATTTTCGTGCTTCATCTAGTAGAGAAAGAAGTGAACCAAGAGCTCGATCAAAAGGAAAAGGGAAAGACACCAGAAAACATACTTCTGAAGGTTCTTCTTCCGGCAGAAGATCGACTTCTAGTAACCCTGGGTATAACAATTCATCTACTAGCACTCATGATTTTTATCCACAGGGACAATATTCATATTTTCAACCTTCACATGGTTTTTATCCACAATTTCCTAATTATGGTGTGCCTTATCAGCCTCAAATGTATCCTCCGCTACCAATGTATCCTCCGCTACCAATATATCACCCACCTCCACCTCACATGTATCCTCATCCTCAAGTATATCCTCCATCTCAATTATTTGAAAATCAAGGTGAAAACGTTACACTTTTTGGATATATTTTTTGACAAAGACCACAGAGATCAAGTGGAGATCACTCTCAAAGTGAAGGTGAAGGATATGATTTTCCTCGTTATTCCACTAATTGGTGAAACTGCTACCACCCCATTTCCAAGGTATGTTTAACCTACCAAAAGAATCTATGTTTCTATGACATTTAATTAGTTATCATTTTTTTGGATTTTAATTTACATTGTTTGATTGGTTTTAGATTAAAAGAGAGACACCCATAATGAAGATTGTTGAACATCTTGACATAGTTAGGTTGCTTGCACGAGGTATGTGTTGTTTTAAGTATTGTACATCTTAACATAGTTATGTTACATGAGATATGTGTTATTTTAATTATTGTACATATTACTTTTATGCTCTTGCTTTAATAAAGATTGTTTTCTTACTTTAATTATCGCATGAGATATGTGTTGTTCTTTTTGCTTACATTTGAGATATATATATATATATATTATTCTTGAGTTTTTCAGTGAAAGATAACTCTTTGATAAAATAGTAAATAATTTCTTATAATTTATTAGATTTTTCCTATGTTGATAGTATTATTTCTTTTAAATAATAATGTATGCACAATGTCATCGTTAATTAATTATCTTATATTATCATCGGATTTTTAAAGTCTTCTATTTGGTTAACTATATTATATATATGTTAATTTCGCTTAGAAAACATTTTAAAAATCTTTATAAATGATTCTTTATAATTATAATTATTTTTATTATGTTTTAAGATAAGTTGTGCAAAATTTAAAAAAATTCACGACCGCGACACCCGCAGTGCACGCGATGATATCCGTTATGTCCGCAACAGCGATAAAAGCGACGCTACATAAAACGTGACCGCGAACGCTATTTAAAACCCTGGCATGCAATGCAATAGCTTAAGAGATCTTAACAAGAAATGTTCGGCATATTTGGATTCTAGAGGATGTTGATGTAGCAATAATCTTACAGGATTACAGTTATTATAAAATGGTGATTACTGCATATATACAAAGAAAAACCTAAAGAAAAAGGACAAGGGGATAAAACCAGGCAGGAGGAAAAGAATAGAAGTAATATATGCGGTAGTTTAGAGGGAGGAGTGGAGGACTCCATTGCCTTGAGCATATATGTACAGAATGGTGACTGTTCATGATTTTCTTTCAGATCATCTTTGATACTGTAGTTCTCTCTGTCAAAGATGAAAAATCAGGAGACATTATGTCCGTTGGTCAGTCATGCATCTTTCCCTTGACCAGAAACTTCGAATTCCCAAAAGGAAAAATGGGAGTATGACTGGGTATCTTTCTATTTTTTCTCCAAAAGGATTCGCCCCCATTGTAGGGAAAGAGTTTGGAGGATTAGATGCTGAATGTCAATCTGCAAGCATATGCATACATAGAGTTTAGCAAATTCCAAATGTCAAGCAATAATTAACATAAAAGGATCCTGAAGGGATGGCAAGCATGCACTAAACTTCTGACCCAACTGAATATAATCATCTCCTGTGGAAGGTCAGTTTTTCCACCAGACATTGTTTCTGCTGAAAGAGGCAGCACTCTTCCTTTAGAACTAGTTTCTTGACTTTCTTCAGCTGATTTTGAGATGGCTTCTGACAATTATTCAGTAGAAAAATTGGAAGATTGTTGTGCATTCTCCATCGGCAATGACATATCAGGTTTATCTAAGCATGAAGCAAAGTTCATATTTTCTCCATCAAATTAGGGTTCTTTCTATTAATCATTTCCTGTCAATATCTGCTATTCAAATCACTCCTGATTTTGAGAGGGATGAATATGAATATGCTTCACATTCACAATATTTACAATGTTCTTAGCCATGGAGCCAAACCAGACGGCAATTTTGACTCAACGCAAGCCTTGGTTCTGCACGGACTTTGGCCTGTGGCTCCATCAATCCGGGAGGTTTTGGTTGTGCTTCCGTGGACAGTGCAAGAACAATGCTATTGTATTTCATGTAGATGGCATACTTGTTGCTCCGTCGGACTATAAGCTTATTGAAAGTACTGGAAACTGGATTCTCTGCATGCAAACGGTGTTTAAATTAAAGAGTAAACCCAACTAAAATATTTTTCAAATACTAAAATGTTAACGCTGTAACTTCACAAACTAAAATATCATTTAACCTTTTTAATTCGATAATCTTCCCTTGTTGCATGAGTATTGTGTGTCAATCATAAGATTTTATATAAGATAATCTAAAACTTATTAAATAATAATTTTTACATCATTAATAATTATATAAATAATTAATCTTAAATTTTTTATTAATTTATAAGAAATACGACATTTTTCATTATCATCGTCTTAAAATTATTTATATTTTATTGACAATATACTGAATAATAATAATTTATTTTATCCAAACAAAATTTCCCCAATAGTTTTTTTATTTTCTATTTTTCATATTCTTTTTACGTTTTATATTTGTTTCAGTAATATTATATCTAAAGATGGTTTTGTTTTTTATACTTATAAAAAGAAATCTTATTTTTCATTTGTTACAACTTACAACCAAACAAGGTAAAATTAGATTCGTTTGTGCCATTTGTAATTTCCAGAAAAATACTTGTGATTTTGGGCACTCGGGGGGTTTAAAAAGACCACATTGTTTAGATTTCGCCCCCCTCATCCACGTTCCCAATTTCGTTACATATAAACACACTTTGCGTTTTCTCCTCCACTCCCGGCATAACCTAACCCTACACTCTGAAACAACCGCGCTTCATTTTTAACCCTAAACTTGTTTCCCGACAAACAAACGCTCCTCTCTTATATCAACTCATTTCCTACTTCGAAAACCCCTAAAGCATCACCCCGTCCTCTCACAGTATTTGTTTAAAAAAAAAAGAAAATCAAATCTCGCTTTTAGCATCTCGATCTCCTTTTTTTAGTACTTTTAAGAAGAAACAACCGAATATTTGTCGAATCGACTGTTTTTGTTATGGTGGGAGGGGGAAGCAGGAGAGACGAAGGATCTATGGTGATTAACAACACCAACGTGTTTGCTGCTCTCGAAACTCTAAGGAAGAAGAAAAAGTCTGACAAGGACCGAATTTCTAAAACATCTTCTTCCAAGTCTCAGCAACCGCAAAAAGAACCCGAGCAGCAGGTCTTTTGGGCACCGGCGCCGCTCACTGTCAAATCGTGGGCGGATGTCGATGATGAGGACGATGATGATTACTATGCTACTACTGCTCCTCCTCAGTCCATTTGGGGACCCTCCGAGTCGTCTCAGAGTCATGAAGATAAGACCGTCAACGTCGAGGTGAAATAACTTATTGTTTAAACGATCACTTTTCCCTTGTTTTCTTTTCTATTTGATTCCTATAGAATCAGTCGGTGTAAAATTTTAAAGTTATAGTTGGATTTTATCTTGTCGTTATTTGAGTGATTGTGGATGTTTATGTTATGGGAAATTGTGGAATGGATGCAGTGTGGTTGACGATTGGAAATAAACTTTTAAGCACCCAATTTGACCAATGGTTTTATAGCTGAACCTGATAGCATAATTTTCTATGGAATTTGGCCCGAGGTCCAGATGTTGGAGATCTTATATCTTGGATTGAATTATTGTATTCTTCAAGTTTGTTTCTATTTTTTGTGTTAAATTGTTAGTTATTTTTGGTAATAGCAGTTCATATGAGAATGCTTCTATGTATTTCTTCAGTGTTGCTGAAGTTCTTCATAGAAATTCCTTTAGAGGTTCTACTGAAGTTCACATGACGATGAATCGTGCTGAATGGTATTTATGGGAACTCCGAACATTTCCAAGAGGCTGGTAGAGAAATTTATTGATCTTTTTACCGGAAGTGAAATAAAATTATACAAGTGCATGATGAAGATTGCACATTCGTTTATCCTTAGAATGCTCTTTTTTTATTTTTTTTATCGGAGGATGCTAATTATTCTGATTTATGTATGAAGGAAGAATCGTGTTAGCATTACCCATTAAGGAACCTTACTCTGGAAAAGAAATAAAGGAACTTACATTTGATACATGGAACTAATGTCTGATGGAACCGAGGTGAAAAATGATTTTTTCGTATCTCTCCATTGATGGGTTGTTTCTCTTCCTTTTATTTTCTATGTTCTGTTATCCTATTATAGAAATTGTGGGCGGTGTATCCTAGCTTCATTTGTTTGTCTTTATATGTTGCTTCCAGCACTTGAGGATTACTTGGTTGTAAGCTTCCACAAATCTTGACATATATTTTATGTTGTTGACTTTCTCTCAAGGAAACACCACTCCTGCCGTATCATTTGATGTGGATTTTGCTAAATCTCTGTTTTTCTTTGTCGACAGATTATATTGTAATATTGGTATATTTTGCCATTATTGTAGTTTAATTTTGGAACTTTAAAGATTTCCCCGATCTCTTTTAACATAAATAGCTTAAATCTTTAAGGTGCCAGATTTTATATTTTTTTCTCTCTTGTGTAACTGGAAGTTTATCAAACGCTTCTTGCAATTTAAGGTTGAAGAAGGGAAGAAAAGGGGCATAGTTGTGTGAATAAGTGAACGGCATAAAAGATATAACATTGTGAGTGCTGTTATTAGCAGGGATCCAGCTCGGTTGTCTTGTGGCCCTCCCAAGTCTCAGGTCCATTAATGTGTTTGTTATTCTGCCAGTAGGACGAGTCCTTTGAGCACAAATTGTTTATCCTGTTAATTTGGATGCCTATAGTTGACATGGGATGAATGATGGAGATTTGTCTGCTTTTTTACAAGCCATCTCTTATTAGTCAATAACTTTTTATTTGATCTGCGATGACAGGATAGTGAGAGCGAAGAAGATATTTTAGATGAAGGTGATGATGAAATAGAGGAAGATCATGACCATGATCCAGAGGTTCAAGTACACCCAGAGCATTTACCGAAAACGGTTCCTGAAGTACCTGCACCATCTAAGGAGTCGGAAAGACAACTTTCAAAGAAAGAGAGGAAGAAAAAGGAACTTGCTGAGCTGGAGGCTCTTCTTGCTGATTTTGGAGTTACACAGGAGAGCAACAGCCAGGATGAATCACGAGGTAATTTAACCAACTTAGTGCTTCATTTACTTCCTTTTTACTCTCTAATTATTTGTTTCAAACATTGTTTCCGTAGTTTTGGTGGAAAGTTGATGTTTTTGTTTTTATTACTTTTGTTGAGCTTCGAAAACGGTAGAATCATAGCTCCTCCCTTGGGTTACGTTAAATTAAATGTTGATGGTGCGATGTCTAAGGAGTGGGATAAATGTTGGTGGATTATTAAGGGATGCTCAAGGGTTGCAGCAGGGTTCGTTTTCCGAAAGGATTGGGGGGGGGGGTCCTCCTATTCTTTCAGAGCTATTAGCTATAAAAAGAGGGCTGATGTATATTGAGGAGAAATCTTTGGTTTCATTTCCAAGGGTCATATTGGAATCAGATTCCCTTAATGCACTGAAATGGATTAAAAATCCGGGTGTATGTACTCCTATGTTCCAGCCGTTGGTGAAAGACATTGCTGCATTAGTGGAGAGTAGAGGGGTAATTGTTAGGCATGTTTTGAGAGCTGCTAATTGTGAAGCGGATAAACTAGCTAAAGAAGGAATAGGATGAATATTAGATTATTGGCTAGGTTGCACAATTATTGAGCTGGTTTTTATGTTCTGTGTTTGGTTTTTAAGTTTTATGTTGTAACAGAACTTCTTAGGATGGATATGTATTATTCTGGTATTAATGAATTTTTAGGCACTCTTTTCCTCCTTCCCATGCCCTTCATGTTATTGTTGTAACATGGAGGTCAAGAAGGGGGTTTTTAACGAGGCCTATCCAATTTCTATAAAAAAAAAAAGGTGTTGTTTTGACAAACAATATTTGATTATTCAAGTATTGTCTCTTGGGATATAGTGCATGACAACCTTAAAGTTGTTTGAGTCTAAGCTTGAAATTCTGAGAATTTCTCTCATGCGGATGCATGCAACCCTTTTTTATATCTACATGTTATCCTTTTTAAGGTTAATATGTTGTTTGCTTAGCTGTAAAGAAGTATTGTATCCGAAGATGGCTTTTCTAGTCCAGAACAATTCCTTTGCTAAAATATCTGTAAATTGGAAGCCTCTTCTGAGCTAGGTTGTTATCTCTTATGTCTGCAGTTGTTGCACAAGAAAAGAAAAATGGAGAGGGGGAAAAAAAGGAAAATCCTCCAGGAGAGTCTAAAAGTTCCAAGAAGAAGAAAAAGAAGGATAAATCAAAGGATGGTAAAGAATCACAGGATCAGTCAACAAGTACAGATGCCACTAACGGGCCAGATGAAGCTGCTGGAAATGAACAGACTGAGGAGGATGCATCAGCTGTTGATGTGAAAGAGCGGCTAAAGAAGATGGCATCTACGAAGAAGAAAAAATCTAGTAAAGAGATGGATGCTGCTGCAAAAGCTGCTGCACAAGAGGCTGCTGCGAGGAGTGCAAAGCTTGCTGCTGCAAAGAAGAAAGAGAAGAACCACTACAACCAGCAGCCTGTGCGGTAAAGTCCCCCTTTTTGGTCTACATTACATATACATATGAACATGTATTTCTCGTTCGTACGACAATGTGAAATAAACGGTGGGCTAAAGGATGACTGTGTCACTTTTATTTGGATGGACCAGACGAAAGTTTCATCTGTTTTTGCTTTTTGGATCTTATTGTTGCTCAGTTATCATGGATTTGGGACAAATTATTATGGCTAAAAATTCTTCATTGGACTAAATTTGAAAATGTTTGTGTATTGCATTTTCTTGCTGATAAGTTTTGGTGCATGGGACAATTATATGTGTGATATGGCGAAACAAATCCTGCTATTAGTTATTATTAAGTGAGAACCAGTACTTCTCTCTTGTCACTACTCAGTCAACTGGATACTCTCATTTCCACGTGCGGTGCCATGTGGCTCATAAGCTGATGTTCTCTTAGGTTGATCAACCGGGTACTCTCATTTCCGCATGCAGCGTCATGTGGCTCAAAAGCTGATATTGTTCCCTTTAGGTGTGGGTATTGTTGTCTTTGGGTGTCTTCCGGCCCCTCAAGTCTTTGCCAAAAATGCACCTAACCTGTTCCGAACATCATCAGACTTCTTACGTATTGGAAGTCCTTGTCGAGGACCATGCTGCGGGATGTAGTGTGCAAAAACGACAGCACCTGATGGGTCAGTTATTCGCGGCAACTTCTAGGAGGTCAATTGGCGCCTAGCCCCAATGAGAGGTCTAGGCATTTGCTGTTGAGTTGGATTCACCGGGTAAGGTAAAGAAGATGGGTGCAGTCGATACTTGGGTAGTTGGGTTTGATACAGGTAGAGGTGCACAAAAAATCCGAATATCCGATTTTACGTAAAAAAATATCCGAAACCGGATTTGGGAAAAACCGTTTTTTTTTAAACCGGATCGGATATTTTAAAATCGGATAGTATAACCGGTTTGGGAAAAAATTGGACAACCGGATTTTTTACCGGATTAAAAACCGGTGTGAAAAAAATCGGATAAAAAATTGGTTTTTTATTCGGAAAAAAATCCGGTCTGGGGTTTAAAAAATTGGATGACCGGATTTTTTACCGGATTAAAAATCGGGTTTTTTAAAAAACTGGATTTTTTCAAACCGAAATCGGTTACATCATCCGGCCCTTCAAACCGGTTATGATTCGAACCGATTTTTTTATAAACCAATTTTTTGACTTGGTGAAAAAATCGGATCGGTTTTTATCTGATCTAGATCAGATTTAAATCCGGCTATGTGCATTCCTAGATACAGGACGTGATTTGAGGTCTCGGGATGCTAAGAAAAATTGTATCGTAATAGAGCTTGACTATCGGTCGGTGAGGAGGTGGCACATTCATGTGTCATGACGATGCCAAGGTTTCTCTTACTCACAGGCCACATTAAAAACTAGGTTTAACTGAAAAATGTTTGTCTAAACGGTAGTTTTTTTTGTTTCAAGTATCTAACCTTATTTTAATAGATAGGCGCTTAAATTTTCATTTTCTTATTATTTTAATGTCAATTTGCTAATGTTTGTAAAAAGATTCATTGTCAAATGAATGTATGACACTTGCCACAAATTCTAGTTAATTTTTATTTTTTAAGTGTTTAATTTCCCAAAAATCTAACTCTTGAAATTCTCGATCTTTCAAAAAAAAAATCTCCTCGCAATCTCTAACTTTTTGACTCCTACTCCATCTGGCATTGCTGCTTGTAGTAATGAAGTATAATTCTTAGTCAACGTTGGAATGAAGGTGAACAATTTGACCGTTCGGAAGAGAATGGAATAATAGATAGTGGAAGAAAAAGATGGAAGGGGTGAGTACTGATGATTTCAACGATGATGGTGGCCTTGCTTAGAAGAAGGATTTTATGGATTTAGTTTCTGTTTTGAGAAATTAAAGATTTTAAGATTCCTTTTGAAAAATAAAATCAATTAAGAATCAAATCATCTGTTATGTTTTTATTGACTAATGTTATTTTGAATGATATTAACATCTTAATCTTAAAGTGATAATAAAATAATATACATATACATATATATATATATATATATATATATATATATATATATATATTAAAATAAACATTTAAAATAAAAAATATATAATCTTAAATATTTATTATTCAATTAAATCTAAGAATATATACTAAAATAATCTATCCACCACATTATTTACTAAATATTCTAAATGTTATAATCTGATTTTCTCAAAAACTAGATTTATGCCTTTTTTAAAACTGTATTTTCGGAATCTTATGGTAGTGATAGAAAATGTTGCGTAGGATGTGAAGGATTGAATAAAAAATAGTAATTATATTGCATATTTAGGACCTGACTTTTATTTTTTTAATAGTCTAATTAATTATAAGTTAATATTTATTTAGAATTTTTCTTGACCAACACATACAAATGTAATTATTTAAATCTAGAACTTCTAAAGAGAATAATACTCTATTTAATTACTAATACCGCTCGATATTTAGAATATAACCTCTATATGCTCTAATTGTTTGGCTTTTTATTCTCTTCGATCTTTCCCTCGGATAGTATATAAATCCTACAATTTTAGGTTGTTTAACTAGGGTCATACTCATCAAGGAATCTTAAACGTGATTAGTACAGATGAATAAATTACTTCACTAAGTTATTCTCTCTTTATTTATACAAATAAATAACTAGCACTAGATATGACCATTTTTTTTTCAAATAATATTTTCTAAAAATGTAATTACTTTTAATAAATACAATTATTTTTTTTACCAATTGTTCTAAGAGAAAATCGCCTCAGTGACAAAAAATGTCTTATAATATACGATTTTAACAAACTTTTTTTGGATTTGCCAAAATGACCAACAAAATCGCAATGCGAAATAAAAATCGCAACGCGATCTCCGGAATCGCAAATTAGTTCCCAGAATCGCAATGCGATAGTACAAATTCGCATTGCGATTTTCCATAATCGCAACGGGAACATATAAATCGCAACGCGATTCTGACTATCGCAACTAGGGGTGTGCATTATCGGATATCGGATATTATCCGATCCGAAATTTCAGATATCCGAAAATTTCGGATACTTAAAGTAATGATCCGTATCCGATCCGAAAAATTCGGATATCCGAAATTTCGGATATCCTAAATTTTGGATCGGATATCCGAATATCCGGATCCGAATCCGATTTTTTTTTTGCAAAAAATTCAAAAAAAAAATCAACATAATAAAAGCATTAATTAACATAAAATTAAAAGTTTAAGTACTAAAACTAATAATTTAGATACTAAACGCGTAAATTATCCCATTGTTATTCACAATCTTCCGACAGAACTGGGGAGATACTTTACAACACAGCAGATTTGCAAATGATATCACACTAATAATTTAATCATAACAATTTCTCAATTGAGAACTGAAAATAATGGCATTTCTTTGTTCCAACATGCTAAAGGATACGGAAGCCATAAACTTTAGATATTCACAAGGCTGAAAACTCAATTTCCTGGTTGCAAGGCCTATATGCAACAAATGTGTTATCGTCTTAGAAGGAAGCTGGATTAAAGCAAGCAATTCCAGTATATTTGAATGCCTTCTGCTCAGTTCTATCGCCTAGCCCATTTAACAATGAGGACTCGATGCATATTAAAATAATAATATTTGTGAACCATGAAATTAAAAGGAGTTGGAACATTCTGTGTAAACTATGAAATTAAATAGCTCCACTTCAAACGTATTTGTGAACCATGTAAAATATAAGCTAGAATCCAAAAATCTATACATGTTGCATATTAAAATAATAATATTTGATTAATGCCATAAAAAATCAACATAAATTAAAATACATATAACGGGTTTTTCTAAAAAATATAGTAAAAGCAGAAAAATAATAGGACCGATCTTCACAAGATGTTCATATTAAAAATATCACACAAGAGTATCAAATCTCAACAACACAATCAAATCAACACAAGATGTTCAAAATAAAATACCACACAAGAGTATCAAGTCTTAATAACATAAAGAAAGAGATAGTAGGATCACTAAGTACTTCAAAGTTTCAAAGTACAAATTTTACAAATCATCCAAAGTATCAATTGTCTCGTCAATTATGATCTCCGGTTGCTCTAAAGTTAGATCCTTCATGGCTACATCACACGAAATAAAATAAAAAAGATTAAAATATAAATTTATGTTTAAACTTTAAATATTGAATAAACAAAAAAAAAGAAGCAATCAAACATAAAAATAAACTTACCTTCCTCCAACTCTTCCAATGCAACTAAACTTTCTTCTATTATAATAGGTGATCGAGAGGTGCGTAACCAATCTTGAGTGCAAACAAGTGCTTCAACCATTTTTGGAGTCAATGAAGTGCGAAAAGAATCAAGGACACGACCCCCCGTACTAAAAGCCGACTCAGAAGCTACAGTCGAGATAGGTATGGCAAGTACATCTTTAGCCATCCTATGAAGAATCGGGTATCTTTTTGGTTGATCTTTCCACCATTGTAGGATATCAAAATTTGAAACATGAGACTCACAAGCATCTTCTAAATACTTCTCCAACTTATTTTTATTGGCACTAGTTAACAAACAACCCGTATCCCTTTGAAATTTTGAAGCCATAAGTTGTTGAAGATCAATCTTACCCCCACGTTGAGTCCCACCTTGAGTGAAATTAGATAAAGAAGTAGAAGTGGAGGAAGACATATCACTTGTCTTTGGAGGAGGCATTGAAGAAGCATACGAGTCAAATAAAGATTGCAAAACCATCTTAATTTTGAGGAACAAAAGAGTGGTTTGCGTTTCATCATAAGAATCATGCACAATCCAATTAACATAATTCAATTTGTGCCTAGGGTCAAGGATCATACCCACAAACATCATAATATTGATATTATCAATGTTCCCATAATACTTATCATACTTAGACATCATTTGGGCTGCCATTTTCTTAATACCCTCATCATCATCACTTATGTTGGAAATCATTAATCTAGTCCCGTAAATCTTGTGTGCATAATGGTTACAAGTAACATAACGAGAACCAGATAACCTCAATGTTGCGTCATAAAAAATGCTCAAGAAATGTAAAAAGCTACTCACCCTCTTCCAATCATCTTCAATGGGACCACCACCAACCTTTCTAAGCTCCTTGAAACAAGAGGAGTCTTTCATGTATAAACTAGCAAATGCCTTTTTAAACTTGA